ATCATGTCTCCCTTACCATCTTTACTAAGTACAATTATAAACCCCAGAAATAAGGTAAGAAGCAACTCAAGAAAAACTTTTAGAGGTGGAAAGAAGAAGACAAACTGGTCCAGGATCCCAGGACTGGAAGAACAATAGTGCTGCATGCCAATTTAGCTCTGCCCCTACCCCTGCCCAAAAGAAGGTGATGTCAACCCAGTGTTTTCCGGCCCCTGCCCTAGCACAGTGGTTGGCTCAGTTAGACAGGATCTAGAGTCCCTTTGACAATATCAGGTGGGCAAAGCACCATCATCAGTAAGGGATTCTGATGGGAAATGTCCTGAACAAGAAGCACTAGAGACTTCCAGTAAGATAGAGGAATAGGCAGACAAGTGACACAGACACTCTTCAACAAAGAAAAGAAAAACCAATTGACAGAGATACAGAAGATAATCCTGGAAAGCTGAGCTTTGAAAGGAACTATACACAAGTGGATTAGGAACCAACTAGTAGAAAAACCTGAACAAAAACAGTAAGCACAAAGATGATCAGAGCTGTGGACTGTAAGCTACTCTGACGAGACCAAAAGCCAAGTAGTGTTGGGACCTGAGAATTTACTGAAAGATCAGTCCCGGTCACCAAGGGCTGCAGGGACAACTTCTCTGGTGGCCTATGACTAGAAAGGGAAACAGCAAGGAGGGAGACAACCTTTCTGCTATCCAGAGGGTACAGCCATTTTGTTTGTTTACACATGGGAGCCATTTTGGGTATTTAAAGTGACTGAGGGCACAGCCATTTTGAATGTTTATAAGTGGAGGCCATTTTGGATATTTGAAGTGACCAAGGGTACAGCCATTCTGAATGTTTACAAATGGTGGCCATTTTGGATATTTAAAGTGACTGAGAGTGTGGCCATTTTGAGTGTTTAAGTGGTGGCCATTTAGGATATTTAAAGTGACCGAGGGCACAGCCATTTTGAATATTTACAAGCAGAGGCCATTTTGGATATTTGAAGTGACCAAGGGTGCAGCCAATTTGAATGTTTACAAATGGTGGCCATTTTGGGTATTTAAAGTGATGGAGAGTGTGGCCCTTTTGAATGTTTAAAAGTGGTGGCCATTTTGG